CTGGTTCCCAAAAACAGAAGGAGTGAGACCTCCTGTTGGAAATTCTCGATCTGTCCCTGTTCAGCAACTCGATCTTGGAGAGGGTAATGCTGACACATGCTGACAGACAGGTGCTGGAAAACGTTCACCAGGACGACTGGTCCACCTCCATAGATTTTAAAGATGCATACTTCCAAGTCTCCATCATCCTGAAACATCGGAAGTATCTGNGTCTATTGTTTTCATACGAAATGTCCTGCATTTTGAGAGAGAGTGAGTTTTTTTGTGAATGGGGCAGATCCTGTCACTATCCACAGCTTTGTTCAGAAATCTATGCATATCTGTACTTGAGTGAGAGACGACATCAGTTTTGTGCACTGAAATCTCTTTTTGTCTGTTTGTTCTCCAAGGTGGCTTGTCTGGTTTGGAAACGTCAAGCAATGACACGAAGTTAAAGCTGGGATCATTTTTAGCATCCGCTTCTTGTGTGACAAAGTCTACGAACACATTAAATGGTGGAAAGGGCACACCTCTCGTGCGTTTGTAGTTAGTTCCTACTGTAATCCATTTTTCCTGCAAGTAGAAAGGAAGTTTTTGGACAATAGGATTTACTCCTCTTGCTGTATCCAGAAAAGCCAAACCAGGGAGGTCTCCTTCTTCTTTAGCACACTGCATTTCCATGAGCAGGTCACTAAACTTCCTCAGTTTTGTGTAATCTTTGGGCGTGATTTTTGGAAATGTATCAATTCTTTTAAAAAGTGCATCTTCAATCACTTCCGCCGAACCATAACATTGATCAAGTCTGCTCCAGATCATGTTAAGGCCATTGACTGGGTTATTGATGTGTATAGCCCTAATTTGCTCCACTTGCTCAGCAGATTCTTTGCCGAGCCACTTTAACATCAAGTCCATCTCTTCACTTGCAGTTAGATCCAAACCTCTTATGGCATTTTCAAAGGAGCGTTTCCAAGCTCTGAAGTTTTGAGGCTTGTCATTGAACTGGAGAAGCCCTGTTGTTACCAATTCACGACGAGCAAAGTATCTAATAAATTCACTTACATTAGAGTCTTGAGACTCTTGGCGTGGGGGTCTAGCATTGTAGAAGTTAGATGCTTCTATGTGATGTGACCAGTTGGGTCTGAAATCTTTATTAGTATGTGGAGACGTGGTAATGACTGGGGGGTTTTGGGAGTTGTTGAGATAACTGGAAGGACAGACTGGAACTTGCCGTGAATCATCTTTTTCAGAGTGTAACAACTTTTTGTTAGTGAACTCTGGTTTATTTTGAAGTGCATTTTCCTCTTCCGCTTGCTGAAAATCATTATTTTCTTCTTCTTTTACAAATTTAGCTTGGCTGATGACATATTGTTCAGTACGGTCATCTGTTAATGAAGAACATGGGTTGCTGCGTGCTTCTATCTGTGTGGCAACAGCTGCTTCTAATGCCTCCGCTTCTGCAATAGCTGAAGCTACATCCTTTTCTTGTTGTAGAAATTCAATAGATGCCTCAATTTTGGCTTTTTCTACTTTTAAGTTAACTTCTTTTGCTGCAAAACTGAGACGGGCTTTGGCTGCCTCAGCTTTTGCTCTTGCCTTGGCTGCTGCGGAGCTTGTAGAGGAGACACTGGAAGCCTCGGACCGGGTCTTAAGGGATGACGTCTTGTTAGACATGGCGACGTTGACTAGGTGACGTTTGCAGGATCACTGCTGTATGCCGTGTTGCGGTAAGGCGTAGTAGCGGTCTGCTTCACTCTAGCTTCAATAACTGCCTTATCTTCTTCGGTTAGGACGCTGCCGTTTTACTGTGCCGTTACTGGTGCATGTCTGATGCAAAGGCTTTCTAACACCTTTCTCGTGTCACGACTCTGAAGACCGAAGGACGTTGTCAGCAGGTTTAATGACAATTAAAAGGGTAAAACTGAAATGAAGACAAAAAATACAATAAATATGTGATCATATGCAGCATAAAATACAATACACTCAATTTCCACCGAACATCATATCCACATGCGCACATCTAGGCTACCAACTGCGCACCCGATAACCTCGCGATATCCTCACATCTAATTAACATAAACATACTCCACCTTAAAACAACACATTAGAGCGCTATCGCTTAGACAGAAACAATGTTGCAAAGTTACAAACTTAATACATACCGGCAATGCAACCATACATGAAAGATTTCAACAGTAATTTACACCAACGAACACCAACGGTGTCTATTTCTACCGTTTAATAAGTTTTGTTTTGAATGACAAAACTTACTATGTTGTAGTACCTTAAAATAACATGAGAGGGCAGGCTTTCTCCCTTTTCTTGTATAAAAAACAACATTTATAACTTCAAAACAGAACAGTGGCTGTATGATGGTCTGGATGAAACATGGTGGTGGCTGTATGATGGTCTGGATGAAACATGGTGGTGGCTGTATGATGGTCTGCGGCTGCAACTGAACTTGGCTCTTAAGATCCAGATCACCTTGGTTGTGCAGCAGGACAATGGTCCAAAGCACACTAGCAACTTCACCTCCACTCTTTGGTTACCAAGCAACTCACTCAGTCTTTGGTTGCCTAGCAACAACCTGTTGAGTAACTGGCGCAGCAGCAGTTCAAGGTTTCCCCACTGAGCTTCATAACTGCTTAAAAATAAAAACCAACATGGAGTAAAAACTGTGGATGAAACAGGAAAGGTCACACCATCAGGTTGGTAATATTTCAGATATTTAAAACCATAAACTAATCAATTATTATACGTATTGATTGATATGAAACAGGTATAATGCGGTACATTTTTCAGCCATATTTTAGTCTGGATTATAACTTTTCTTTACCCCTTATTTTACCTCTGAAATGTTTCGTCTTTGGTTTTGTTTGTTAATTATGTTTTTACCATATAAAACACTCTGGACTGCCTTACTGCTGAAATTATGCACTTGACCGGATTATTACGTTTCAAGGGCAATCACTTTTTCACACAGGGCCAGGTCGCTGTCGAAAGCTGTTTTTTGTGTTTATTCAAGTTATATTTGTGTAATATTAACATTAGTTTGGTCTGAATGTGACATTAAAGCAGAACAGAAGAAAATCCTCCAGCAGGTTGGTACTGGGTGCAGCACCACTGAGCACCTTGTTTCTGTCTGATCAAACAGTAATTTTTCACGTTTGGCATTTTTCTCCCTCACTCAGCTTCGATATATTGTCATCATTACCAAACTCGTCCGCTGTGACAGGGTGTGAATAAATCTTGCAAATGAGGTTTGAAGTGGCCTTTTCTTTTGCCCAACTTGACAAGGTTAATTTGAACGTGCGATCCACACTCCTCTGCGCACTCAAGATCATTTCAAGGCCCTGATTTTCATGTGCCAATCCTGCAGCAAGCAAACCGGGGGAAAATGGAGAATCTGCTGCTGCTGATGTGTGTGTGTGGGCGGGGGGGTGTGCGTGTGTGTGTGTGAGTGTGTGTGTGTGAGGATTTACATAATCAGGTGCTGTGAATGGAGGGTCACATTTTAATCTGTGGTATCATCTAAAGCAGCAGGCTGTTAGCCGCTGCGTTCCTTAGCAAAAACTAGCATACTCGAAGTTTATTTTGATGAGTATACTTGAGTATATCAAGTATAATGTAATGCGGTCCATGTACTTGTAGTGTAGTAGAAAGTATACTAATTAAATACTTAATTTTAAGTTTATAAAATGTTGCAATCAGCAATAAATCAATAATTTTCATTTGCATCATTTTTCTTTTTTCTGAAGATAAAAGTCTTCAGTTTGCTGTTTTGGTCTCAACTGGCCTTTTTTTTAAGAATAATTTTGTTTACAGAAACTTCATAATTCATTTTATTTTTTATTTCTGTTGTTTTGTTTATTTGTTTTGGATATTTAAGATGTCTTCCAGCTATGGTGTTAACTGTTCATTAGAGTTTAAAGTTTATTGATCTTTGCAAATGTGTTCTTGCATTATTATGCCATTACCATTATATTACATAAAAATGCTCTCAAAACAACAATGTTATCGTTTATCGCAACAACTTCTGGGACAATTTGCCATCCAGCAAAATGAATTATCCTGACAAGCCAACATACCAGTGGTTTGGAATTATTGTTCAACATTTTTTCTACGTTTTATTTTTTCTTTGCTGTGGCGCAATGCACTAAATTAATATATGTCTCCAAGTTTTACTTTGTCAACAGAATCCGATGGCAAAAAAAAAAAAAGAATTGTTTTTTTCCTCTGCAAAATTTCTGGATATAAACAATAACATGCAGTGTGTCCATAGCTTATGAAAGCTAAACTACAAGCACAGTGCCTCATTTTTAGTATGAGATAAGTATACTCATGGTAGTGCTGAACAATGTGGCCGAAAAACTTATCACAACATGAGCATCTATCAACAAATATTGATTAGATTTTTGTTTTAAATATCTGAAATATTGCCAAACTGGTGGCTTAATCTTTACTGTTTTATCTTCAGTTTTCACTTTACACCGTTGTTGTTTATTTCAAGCACAAAACTGAAACTGTTGCTGCTATCAACAGGTTGTTGCTAGGTAACCGAAGATGGAGAGGGTGGGGAGGATTGAAACTGCTTGTTACCCTGCAGGTTGTTGCTAGGTAACCGAAGTTGGAGGGGGGTGGGGGGACTGAAACTGCTTGTTACCCTGGAGGTTGTTGCTAGGTAACTACACAGTGAGAGAGTTAGTTGTTGCCACCAACCCCACTTAACTAGCCTAGAGGTTGAGCAGCTAAAGGTTTCCTCTGACAACATCTCCCAGAAGGCCGTGCAGCTCTGTGCGGTTCTGTATATCGTTACCTTCCTAAAATAATGTCAAAACGCATTTTTGCTAAATAAACACCACCTCTCTATTGCCAAAAGGTGATTTAGGCAAACCAAGACTTTGGTGACAATATTGATATGTCTTATCAATTGATCATGTGTCTATTGCGATATATATCTTGTTACTGATTTATTGTGCAGCCCTAACTCATAGTAGACTTCGTGAATAAGTCACTCTTTACTGCGGGGTAACTCTGTGCTCCGCTGTCCCTCCTCAGGTACCTACTTCACGCACGAAGCCAAAGGTGCAGACGACGCGGCGGACGCAGACACAGCCATCATCAATGCAGAGGGCGGCCACACCAACTCGGACGAAAAGAAGGAGTATTACATCTAACCCGAACCGGGGGGACCCCCGCCCCCGCCCTCGCTCGGGTGTTGTCGCCGGCACGCCGAGCCGCTTTCCCGGGGATGGGGCAGGGGGGTTTTTTGACGGATTCGGATCGCTTTTTGGTGAAAGGGATGGAGGAGGGATTTTGAAGGAAAGGCCTGGTTTTACGCCGTCGTTTAGTCTAGTCTGCAGATGTAGATGGAATGTTATTTGTGTTTAAGATAAAAAAGATAAAATATTAAAAAAAATAAATAAAAGCGAGTTGGGGGGTGGGGAGTGGGTGGGTGTGGGTGGGGGCGCCAGATGTTGGCAGAAATCACTGTAGAGAGCTTCACCATTTAACACCTCCCTAACTGCTGGTACGAAGTTTATCTTTTAGTTCCACCATTTGCAGAAAATTCTGTGCCTTGTTCTGAATTTTTTTTTGTTCTCTCCACACTCTAGATCCGTGCTGATCGTCATTTGCATAACCTCGTTGCTCTTTTTTCCCCGTTTTCATCTTTTCTTCCCCCCCCCAACACTTGTTATTATCAGCCTGCTGTCGGCTTTTGTATGAGGGTAAAATTACACAGCCACTTTATTCATTTCTCTAAATGTGTCTGCACACGCGCGCTCTACTCCTCTCCTGCATAACAAACACTCTTTCAAGTATACTGTGATTTGTCTCAAGCCATTTCCTCTCTCTTTTTCCTCTGAGGTTCTGAAGACGTAATGCATGGAGTGCTTTGTGTGTCACTGTACGGACAGCCTAAACCAGACACAGGTTTGTTTTTATTGAACTCCCCCACCAACAACACCTAGAAGTATAGGCAGAAGCAAGGATGCAAAGGTTTATGGGTCATTTTGCCTCTTCTTCTAATTTCTATTGAATCTGGAAACAAACAAATTCATACATTTTGTACGTGAACTGGTTGAATCTCATGCAAACTTTAATTTATTTGTATATAACTGTGTATTAAACCGTCATTTATTTATTTTTATCCTACAATTGATTCTGACCCTTAATTAAATCAAAATAACATTAAATGACCTCCAGATTGTAGATATTATTAACTACAGACTTACTGTGTCTTCCCACCTGATAGTCTGGTAGACTTGGCTCGATTGGGAATAAAAGTTGCACATTTGTTTCACCTGGAGTCAAACCAACCAAACCCTTTGAGCAACACGTTCCCCTCCTTACCTGTGGAGGTGCTGCACCAAGACCCACTGGAGGAAACGACATAAAAACGACACAGAGTGCAACTTCCTTTTTCATCAGACAGCATAAAAATGGAACGCAATCGGGCTTTAGGGGGTGGAGGATTTGTATTTTATCTTTGGGCAAAAACTACGAGCCATTTCTTTCACTTAGGCTAACACGTTTGTTTTGGGTGTAGTTACCCAGAATGCCCTCCGCTGTATTCCACTTCCTGCTTCTGGAGCGGTCTCTGGTCCGCTTGGTGTTCACATTTAGAACCAAACCAGAGTTCACTTTTCTGACAAAATAGTGACGAGGCAAAATGACCAGAACGTTTGCAAAAATAAACACTGAAAGATTTTTACCAATCTTGACCTACTTTCTAAATTACATCCCTAATTTTCTTCCATATTGCTTAATTAAAATTTTCTCCTGTTTCTTATGATTAAAACGCCTGTACATATCAGTGTTTCAGTTTGTTTGCATTTTCTCTCAATCTGAAGTATTATTTTTCTTCCAAGTGGAGAAAATAAAATGTCCTATTTCAGGGGAGACGCCTGGTTGTTGAAGTGCAGGATGCTCGTGTTGTGTAGTTAACGCAGTAGAAAGAACCGCCTTAACCAGTTTTAAACTGAAACATCTGTAAGTTTGAACTTCATTTGAGCTCTCGCGGGCGTTGGTCAGTGGGTTCATCATTTATTCTCATAAACACTGGATGTAGACGAAGCCAGAGGAGTCACAAATCCTTTTTACAGCCTCCCAGAGTAACGCCTGAACACCTCGGTTCTCATCTTAAGTTCTGTCAAACGGAGAGGAAACCGAACAGCTCTGAGGGTCACACCACTCGGGTTCTGCTTTCGCCCGCCCGCTTTTCGAATGCTTCGATATTTCACACATTCTTTGCATGTCTGTATTTGCGCTCGGATCGTTTCGGTTCCACTTCAGCACCAGCTGCCAGAACCTAACCGGAGTCGGTTTGGAGTTATGCCAAAAGTCATTGTTTGCCTGTAAAATAACTTCCTTCACATTTTCTGCTCTGTGCCGTTAATCCGTTGTTTGCATCAGCTTGTCAACAGTGCAGAGCGCCTGGTGGTTCTGCTGTGGTTCTTATGAGTTCACACAGCAAGCAACACGTTTAATGAGTCCAGGACAGATGTGGGTGGGTGTGGGTGGAGGTAGCGGCTGGAGCTTCCAGTGGGAATATTTAGCGGTTTTTACTCCTCGTGTCACATAAAGCTTATATGCCATCATCTGCATCACTGTCATTTTAATTCTGGGTGTTTTTCCAGGGCAAAATGACTAAATGAACAAGTTAGAACAGGTCTGTGGGCATTAAAAACAATTTCATCACTTTTTATTTTTTGCAAAAAATCATTCTTAGATAATGTGATTTTAGTCTCCTCAGTATGGCCTCTGTCACTTCAAATTAAGCTGCTGCTGGCCAAATCCCCCAACTCAATGTTTACACTCGCAGGTGAAAATGGCTGCAAACAGAGGAGCAATTATACAACTATACATCTTCAAAAAGCATTAGTAGAGCCTCCTGCATAACCAACAAGAACACAGCAAATGGTTTCTGGATGGTAAGTCAACAACAAAACATTTCTGCTCTTATACAACAGTAAAACCAACTGACCAAACATTCTGGAGCTCAGTTTTGGGTTGCTAGGTGATGGGCTGAGATCTGCTGGGGTTGCTAGGTAACAGGGCAGTGCCTGCTGATTAGGGACATTACATTCTGGAGATTTTTGAAACAGCTAATTTTCCAGACACCAAACAATATGAACGTATTGCCAAAAACAGCTGAGTGGTTTTGTTTTAAGTGCTTGGGGTGTTGTTAGAAGCTGTAGCCAAGTGGACATACAAAAACCTGCAAAATATGATTTTTGTTTAATGCAGCCCCTTTAAACATCAACCGCAATTAATGGATTTTGTGGGGGGGGGGAATTATTTTTAAAAGTTTGAGTTTATGGACTTTATTTAATTCAGATGGCAAAATCATGAATATATGCTCAAACATTTAAAACCATGTGAAAACAATGAATTAATCCCACCGAATATCTTGGACGTTTATGTATAAAGAATCCTAAGACTAAAATTAGCTCCTAACACCATCAAGAAAATGCTCAAAATTTTGGAAACGTTATCCTTTTTCTTAGAATTTTCCCTCAGTACGCTAAACATTTTTCATACAGCATCATAGGCATTAAGACCTAACCTGATAAAATGTTAGAGGTAGTGATATGACTCTTAGTGAGCGTAAAAATATCTTATGATGGCAGAAAGTCCAGCAGAAAGGCGAAATATTCTCTGTGAAATGGAGAGATCTCTGCCAGCAGCAGGCTCTGCTCCGGCTGTTTGGTTTTCCATTACTTCCTTATTTTGTGGCAATTTCTTCACATTAAAACAAGTTTATACAAACAACCAGTCACAGTGAACTGCTGGCAGCTGAGCACCCACATGCAATTCAAACTCTCCCTTCCTGTTTTTATATATGTATTTATAGTGGGTTTGACTATAAATACATATCAGTCAAACCCACTGAAAGTTTTGGACTGAAAACTACAGTAGTGTCACTTGACTGTAGAAGAAGAAACTTTAAAATAATCATTTCAAATAATCAACAGCTGAAAATCTCTAAAACTGACTAAATCCCTTAATCACCTCTGTATAAAGTTGGCCGCTCAGACAATTTGTTCTGATTGACCTTTTGTCAGACCTTCTGACTCACAGTTAGTCTGATAATCACTGATATAATTAATGAAATAGAGTTTTAATCAGAACTAACTAATCAACCCTCTTAGATCAAAAGACATTACAGAGAAGTGGAGAAAAGATAACGACAATAAACAACAAAATATACAAGAAAAATGTTGAGCATCACCCAGATCAGTCATAAAATTTGCATTTAAGCTATCATGAGCATTTTAGCTAAGTTTATCTTTTCAACAGGTGTTTGCAAACTGAATAGGGAATGCTACTGATATTTCAGTGATAGCCCTCATGCTAGCATCAGCAATTTAGTTAAAATTGTCATTTGAGCTCAATATACTGAATGGAGTGAGTTCATGTTAGTCAACATGCTAGGTTTAGCCCATATGCTTTTAACAACATTTTATCTAACATTAGCTTTTTAGCTAGTTTTGACCTAACACCTCTGTCTTCTGCTGACTTTATTTATTATATTTTTTCAGTTCATCATCACTATAAATACATATCAGTCAAACCCACTGAAAGTTTTGGACTGAAAACTACTTTTAGAGTTCCTGTTTGGGGAACTGGGTGTTGCTTGCAGTGGGTCCTCATATCCACCACTAGTTGTGACTTTTAAGCATTTCATTGTATTTTATAAATGTGAACCACATCAGCTGTGCGATAGCTTTAATATATCATTGTCATGCATGAAGACAGCATTCAGGCTTTCTATGTTGGGGATTTGAAGCTGAGGTTTGTCTCAAAGGAACTGACTGAAATGCATTCTTTATCCTTTCCCCGTCTGTGTTAATGAAATGTTTGCAGCCCTAGAAAAGAACAGTTGGGATAGCTGTAGCTGGGAGTTTAATTTTTTGGCTTTTTCACCGGACGTGTACATATTAGTTACACACATTTCATGTACTCGATTTAAGAAGTCACGTATAAATCACCACTATGTTCACTCTGTATGCTGACGACACTGTTTTGTGTTTGTGTAAACTGGATGGGTGGGGGTAGGGCAACGGGGGACTGATTAGGTTAGATGTTTCACGGTCTGGTGTCTGAATAAAAAAAATGACAAACAAATATCTGACTGGTTATTGTTGCTTTATGGATCACAGAGCAGATACCACTTCATCTGTTAGGCTGCAACTTTGTGATTTGTATTCTACAGTGAGCACTGTTTTTGCTTCCATGACCAATGGCAGCTTCCACTTAGATCCAGTTTTAAGACATGAAGTCGTCAATACAGGAACTGACGGGGATGTTGTTTCTTCCTTAAGACCAATTTGTTGATTTTGACCTTTTTTGTACTCCTAAAAACATGAAAGATATCATTTGTGTATGTTGAATTAATCAGATTGGAATAAATGACACATAAGGTTTTGATTTATTTTTCTGGATATTCCCTGTAAATTAAAAACAAAAAAAGAACGCACATTTGTTGTAACTGAGGTAGTTTCCTGCACATTGGATCCCTTTGATAATGTCCTGTCTCAGGTTCATGTGTTGCTGACCGATGTGACTGCATCTCAGGTAGAATGCAAAGTTTAGGCCCCACCTGTCGCCAACATAAAGGCATGTACAAATGCGTTCATCAAGTCCAGAAGTGCAAACACATTCTTTTTAGGTCCAGAACTGGTGAGATGTTTTGCATATACAATATGTTGTACATGTTTTATGTATTTTTTCTTAATATTTGGTGCACTGTAAAAAAAATGTGTTAAATATTGATTTTCTTTGACATATCATACGTTTATTGGAATGAAGCAGGATCAGAAACGTGTCGTGGCTGTACTACTGTCACTTTGAACGCTCCACCGCCTTTTCAAACTCCTTTGATTCCCAAAAAAGAAAAAAAAAGATTTGATTGTTCCACCCGGTTCTTGTTTTCAGATTGTTCTTTTTGTCTCTCTGCTGTACTTGAGAAAAATGTAATGTGTATTAATGGAGAACAGGAGTTCCACATTCCCATACACATTTTGTATTGGTTCATAAATAGACATTTTTACAAAACAATGAAGAGTTCTTGTCTTAATAAAAGAGAAAAGATATTAATGTCCAAAATAATATGTGTTGGCTTTTTATTTCAGATCTGTGCGTCAAAAACAAGATGCACAGACGATGTACTGTTTGTGAACAGAGTTGAGCGGCTTTAATAAACTGCTAAATTTAACAAAGAATACAAATAAATTAAGAAGGGCTGAGATTTTACAGCATTACTTTCCATTAATTACATAGATTATAACACAATTAATCAAATTTTTTCCAAGCTGGAACCTGTATATTTGTGCATTTCTGATACGTTCGTAAATCTGACGCATAAGCGACATTTTGCAAATGGCGATGGATGACAAGCCACTTCTCTGGTCCTACTGGGGTAATTTCTGCTTCTAAAACCGATCTGATTGGAAGCTGGAGAACACTAGAAGGAGTTAGCTAAAGAGCGAAGCTATTCAAGCCTAAAATAGCTTCAAACCTTATGGAAAGTACACCATGTACCATGTACTTTTCAATAATGTTTTAGCTGTTGTTATTTTACCTGTATATGTTGTGGTTTCTCTGTTTTGTTTAGACGGGGTTAGGGTTAGGGTCTCTGTGTACCACTATTATCAGGAAAACTGTAGATTAGAGTCACACCCCTCCAGCCTCCATATATATATATATG